TTCATTCAAAGGGACATTCTGATTTTGGTAAACACTATTCACTGTACCTAATAATTATTTTATTCGCATTAAAAAAAGGTTTTACTGACGGTTCTTTAGTATATATGATACAAAGTTCCAGCTAACATTGAATCATTGCATAGGATTCAACAGTACACTTTGACTCCATATTCTATAAAACAAGTACCGAAATGCTATTTAATATCTATGTTTGAAAAATAAACAAGCTATAATACATCGTCATTGAATTAATGAAGGGTTGTATGAAATTTGAAGGGAAACCAGGCAAGGTGTCGGAAGGTAGCAAGTAATTAATAAGGTTAACGCGAGCATCGGCTGTGCGTGAGCCGTGAACGCCGCGGACCATTGATCGAGTCACCGTCTACTTGGAGCTGCACGTTCATATTGGAATTACTACCCTTCATGTCGTTCAAGGGTTCAATACAATCTACATTGTTTGTTGTTGCTATACTATTAAACTGTATTGTCCCATGGTAAATTAGTCTATGTTGTGAAAAACAGATTAAACTACTGCACCTTATACTTGCAATCACTAGCCAAAACAAACAAAAATATGGTGAAAGAACTAGATGACTAAGAACTAAATAAATGATAACAGCTATCTTCCAACAGAAAGTTAAGTAATACCTATTGTAAGAATATAGAAGGAGATAATAAAATGATTCACCGAAGAAACAAATCATTATTATTCACATAGGATGCCACATGCAGTTTACTTGTATTTACCTGACTGTTTTACCATGCTAACCGGAACCAATTTATATTTTAAGTATTAAAAAACCTTCAGTCACACTCACTGTTGTATTAGATTAACATTAAAATCAATTAGGACTTCTAAAGAGTACTTTCGTTAACGGTCTCTGAGTCTGAACGTTACCAGGCGCCTTAATCACTATTTAATTATGCGGAACTCAGGCGTCGCGCGAAAGAGCCCAAGTTAGCGATTACTTCATGTTTTTGTTTTACCCTCCCGACACGCCCCACTGTTTGGAGCCGCAATGAATTGTCATTATATTCCCCAAGTACCCTCAAACTGTGGGAAACATCGAGAGTATAAGAAAGTGGGTAATTCACTGTTATTTCAAGGTTTTTTCATTTATGAAATTAGCGGGGAATGTGGTACTTATTTTTTGGTGTTCTTTGAAACTTTTTAGTATGAGATTTTATTGAAATTAGCAATACATTTTGGGCTACTATGGTCCGACTTTATCAGAATTCTAGCATCTTTATCTAAGGTATGACCGGTATTATAACGATATGCCCATGGCTATGAATGTCTGAAAATCGTTTTACATTATACATATTTACTTTTAATACATCCACTTGAGCCTAAGCTCTAGATATAAACACGATCTTTAGAGGTAATAAAAACAAAACAAATTGCGGGTGAAATAATGCGGTGAGCTTTGCTCCTCCGGCCTGTACTCTGGCGTGAAGGCTTTAAATTCTTATTTATATGATAACGGTATAATTCTTCGCCGGCCCATTTTGGTGTTCCCTACGAACCTCCTTTGTAACAACTGTTCGGATCAAGTTTTTTACCCAAGATAAAGGTTTGAAAGGTGAAATAAAATTGTGCGAGGATATTGTTGTTGGTCTATTTTCGTGTTTTTCTTTACATTTGAAATATAATGTGCTTTTGTTATCTATCTATTTATTTGTTGTTTGTGAAGTCAAAGAACTTTGTCCTTGATACCATGTTTTTAGTTTCCAGGTCCTTAATTCTATGTCAGCAGTGACAAGTATTTTCATTAAAACCATAAGAATTTTTCAACATAACGTAGCCTTCAGATGAGAAATAAGTTAATAACTGTTTGTACACCAATTTTATTGGTAGAACATGGACATGCTATCAATGTAGGTATATTATAACACCCTTTTGTATTACCAGTGTTCACAAATAAATTAATTGGATTGATTTGACAATTAAGTAATAACATTCCAGACTCCGTGCTATTACTCAGATTTTTTAATTAAACCAAGTTATGTTTTTCAAAACCGGGAATCAAACCCGAAACTCCGGGCAGTGGCACTTACGATCACTCGGCCAACGAGCTATTCGAGCAATTAATTAAGTAAAATCAAGTAATAATTAACATATTTATTCAAAAAATATCCAACTATACCAACCCTCATACATTAATAAATTATACTTACTTAATTAATTTATTAACAATAATAACGTAAATAATATTAATATTCATAACAAACATTTTCAGTAAAATAGGCTCTCGTCCAAATAAAACAGGGGACATTATTCCACGCGGCTTAAAGTGTACACCGCTCCCAAAAGTTGTGTTACAAACGTTACAAACAAGTGTGTGGTGTTATCACGTCGTAAAATAAAAGTAATGACCACATTGCGTTGCCCACTGTACGCGACTACGGTACTATTTGAATATGTATGGTCAGTTGTATTGCAATGTGAATTTTATTTTCATGTTTAATAATTGATAAGAATAATTATCATCATTTTATATGTATGTAGGTCTGTTAGTAGCTTTGCGGAAACCTCAACAAAACTTAATTAGGACTTATGATCATAGTCGTGGAGTTATCGGCTCCGGCTCAAAAGGGATAGTTTAAAGTCAATAAGAGTCTAAAGTCGGAATACTGAAACTTAATTTTAAGTTGTGCTTAAGTATAGTTCTATCTCTACAAATTCTTTGTAAAATGACAAAGATGGCACGATATTTGAGCACGACTGTCAAACACCAAGCGGTCACCGGTGACCGCAACCTATTATTCTATAATTGTGTCTATAATGACGGTACTCGACGAGTTAAAATTGAGTAACGTTTCAGTATTCCAGCATAACTCGCCTCACCCAGGTAGGAAAAGTCATTGGATGATTTTCCCTTCTCAAAAAAAGCCAATATACATTTACAAAAAGATAACAATCATAAGTACGTTGTCAATAATGAAAAAATATAGGATAGTTTTAAAGAATCCCATGTTACCGCCTGTAGAGAAAACAGCAGCAAGTATTTCATTCAATAACCTGAGCAGTAGCAAAAATATGGTCATTCTCCAAACTTTATTACAGTTTAGCTGTATTATGAAAACATTTGACCAAATTTGGATACTTAATTAAATGTATAAGGTAAAGGTTATGGAATATCAAATGTTGTTCCACCTACAAATTGATTGATCCGACCTGTGGGTACCAAAATAGATCACCATGAACTTTGTGCGATGTCTAACGCCTTACATCACGACATGGGTATATCGTCCATACTAGCATTACAGAATTATGAGTATTTTGTTTGTTTGTATATATTTTTTTAATATAGTGATGAGCATAAGCCAATTTTTGATCTGAAACATAGCCCCAACTCCTAAAAAACTGAGTAATTGAGTCCTAACACCTCATCTAAAATGACTAAATGGCAGTTATTTCCTATTAAATTAACTTATTTTGTCAATAGTACGCTTTGACATCTAAAACCCTGAACCGGTTCAAAAATATGGCACTGAGCTGAGAACAATAGAAATTATGACATAAGATTTGTCTACGTGGAAGCCGTAGGTAACCCGTTTTACCTACGCTTTCCACGTAGACAAAGTCGCAAGAAAAGCTAGCATCCTATAGTAACACCGTGTTACATTTTTTGTGTTTTGACAAAGTCAATCGCACAAGTTGGAACGACTTCGAGTTACGTTAGCGGAACTAGTTTGTTTTATCGATAGAAATCATATATAATACCTATGTACAACTTACATCTTTGTATGATTAAAAAAAAAATAAGAGAACATTCACATTATAATATTAGATAGGTACTTGCATAATCCGTAATATTTTTTTTTATTGCACCTCTGATAAAAAGTTGTATTCTGAAAAAAGAATTTGCATTGATGGACAGTATCTACATCCCAAACCCTTATCCTCTCTTATACATAGGTTATCAATAAGGAAAATGATAAATTCAACATCATTCAGATATTGGATTATAAAAGAAAGAACTGTACCTACTAGTGCATATGAGTAAATAACTGTTAATTACCTCTAGTTATACATCGACATTAAAATAGGAATATAAAATAATAACAGTCCTCTAACTGTCAAACACCAAGCGGTCACCGTTGACCGCAACCTATTGTTCTATAATTGTGTCTACAAAACCGGTACTCGACGAGTTAAAATTAAATCATTCTAAGGGCTTCAAAAATTAGATCGTTACCCTTGGAAAAATAATGAGAGAATTTGTCAATAATAGAAAATTGCATTAGCTAGGTATTAAAAAAGTCGTCATTTGTACAAATGAAATTATCTATAAGTTATAAGTTTATATGACTCATAGGAAATCACATACTTTTTACAATCTTATGTCGTAATCTCATAAGAGTTGATAACGATTGTATAACTATTACAATTAATTAACACTAACTTATTAAGAGAAAAACTACCTTCGAATCTCATCTGACGAATAAAGGGCAACCAGTAATAGATGGCATCATAACCCTCAAATGCGAACGGGATAAAAAATAAGTTGAAGTCGTTTCACATTGCCCACATCTGGTACTAATGTGTCCAACTTTTGATAAAGCCGTAGTGCCCAACGAATTGGGCGCGTCGAATCACTTTCTCGTGTTCAACTGCTAAGTGATATTTTAAGGTCGAAAAGTAGTTTTTTGAGGTTATTTTCCAACACATGGCTTTGTTTTATTAATGGCTTTCTAAGTTATACGATTTGTAAACTGTTCTTATGACGTAGTAACTTTAGAAGACTGAGTCAACAGACCAATGATCACCATGTATGTACAAATAATGACCTAGGTATTGCCCTTCCCAGCTCGATAGCTGAACCAGAACAAAGAAATGAATCATGATATCAACAAACCCACAATCATACACCTTTCAGTGAGCAATCGATATCTCTTATCGTATCGTCTCGATATGATTCATGATCTTATCATTATCATTTTATCTCAAGTGTACCACGAGATGGAAATATAAATACCATAGAAAAATACACCAATATATTACCAGTATTTTTTTTGTTTGAAGAAGTCGTGTTGCAATCATCTCAAAATGTCTTTGTTGACCCAAATTACAATATTGTGTTTGTGTTTAGCTCTGTACAATGCTGAAGACTTGCAATTAGGGTCTGGTGTTAATGCTCAACTAGGATACCAGGAGATTGTCAAACTAGGATCTGTACCTTTGACTGTGAGGACCAAGAATGTGTTCTATAACTCTAATAACACTAAGACCATTAAGGTAAGACCTTTGACTTTTGTTCGATGATTTATGATTTAATATAAACATGCTGTAGATTATAATGATGATAATTCTAAAACAATATTGGCTTGGTGCATTAAAAGTAAATATGTTAGGTAATAGTATGTTAGTTACTATTTATATGTAGTTTTCAGTGTTATAAGTCTCTTGAAGTAGTTAAAGATAACACTGGTTGGGATTATCTTAATGAAAAAAAAGAAACTCTTGAGCGCATTTTACTTTTAATTCTAAAAAAACATAAGTTTGTTCACTTGCAACTTTCACGCTCTGAAATTGCTGTAATTTTATTACGAATATTAATATAATATTATTTATCTAGTTGTCACCTTCGACCATTGCTGGACGTAACCGCAAATACTGAAAGGTTACTGAATATTAAGTCACGATTAAATATCTCCATCTCTGTCATTTTACAAAAAAATTACAGTGACAAAACTATACCTAAGCGCGACTTAACATTGAGAATTTAAGCAATAAACCTTTTCATTGGCACGCCATTGAGTTTTACCCATATGCATTTCAGTCACTTTTCACATAGATACAGCAGGTGTATATTTTGCACACTGTCTAATTTTTACTCATTTATTGATGCCACGTTCATTATTTTCTTCACAAATACAATGCAACTTTCTGTTCCAGAGCATATCAGCAGTTGACATTGACAAGTCGAAGGCTGTACCAACAATCACAGCTGGTGGTATCGGCTCATCCTTTGTCAATGTGCGGCTGAAGAGTGAGAAGGGAAAGGCCCTCAACTACCTGGTCCAGATATTTGTGTGATTGCAAACATATTGACATTGTACTTTATCTTATCATATTTGACTTTGACATGTATTAAAAGGTGTGATATTATGTAAAAAAATATGTTTGTTTTTGTCTAAAAAAATCTGTTTGATCGGCATCCTGTTGTTTTACTTACATATTTACATAAATCAGTACGTAAATTATTACTTAATAATTTGCATTCATAACAATAAAATCATGCGAATGATCCGAAAATATGATGAAAATAATAACTGCATTGGTAAAATTATAATTTTCAAATCTTGATTTAATAACATATTACCTATAGAGCACAATCTGTGATCAATAATGCAGAATATTGGTTGGTGAAACGTTATTAATTAGTGAACTGATTAAAATTCCAATAAATAACAGTATGGCGGTGTTTAATGAGTGCGTGTAAAGTATGCAAATGCAAGGTATATGGGACTACGCTCACATATTGGTCACGGGGCAGCGATGCGTGGACTTACACCAGGAGCTGGTGCTGCGAAATTGTATATTTTGGATAATATTTTCACGTAGGAAAGCCACGTTTCGGCTCAACTGGAATGATGCTATATGGCCTGACAGAAAACCGACATAAACCTATTGTGATTTTTTGCTCGTTTGCCTGTCTAATAAATAAGGTCCAATGTTTGGATCCTTTTATTTTGAATTAATTTATCTTATAATTGTGAACTCTTTAATAATATATATTCGTGCCTAAAACTGTGGTGTAGTATAAAGATGTTAAATTACATACATGTATGATTCTATCATAATTAAGATCAAACGACCATAAAGCGACTAAGCAATCTTGCTTACTAAATTAACAATTCAAATTATCGAGTGATACATTTAACATAAATTATAATACACAAATGACAGTGAACAGTTACACGTAGAAACTTCAGTGCTGCCATCTGTTGTGACCACAAAACTAGAATCAGTCTGTTACGCCTTCACTGTTTACCGACATCATTAATTTCCCTTACTCTCCACAACTTGAAACAAGAAACATGCTTTGAGTTTTTTGTTTTAGAACTGTGCCTAGATAAATAACAGACGTTGTTACTTGATATCAGAGAATCTTTGTCATAACTATCGAGAGACCTACTATATTAACTAAAAATCATGGGTTACTCAAGTGCAAATACGGAAATAAGCTATTTAGTTTCAAACAGTAGGCTCATGAGGAAGAGCCCCTCTGTGGCTCGACACTAGTAGAGCGTTTCTCAAAATTTTTACGTGGTAACCCCGCGATTTTTAGTTATTAATATTAGTAACTAAGATTCAATAATAATTTGCATTGCTTACCTGCAGACCTACGATTAGACAGATTATCGTTTCTTGTGTTGGTTGTATTTACTAATGGGCAATAAACATGGTGTTAGCGCCTATATTCTTTTGATCAATTTTTTACTATTAGCTCTAGGATTCATAGTGATAAACCACAACTAGGACTATACAATAACAATAATAACTCGTATTAAGGAACCAAATTTAAAATATTGTGTTGTCCCGCGCGTCCGTTGTCCGGCTCCCGCACTAATATGTTGACTCTGGCCCCGTTGAATATGCAGTGCACTGGGCGTGCCCTAAACTCTTGTAAGCCTTTGTTTGGACCCGATATTGGATCCCGACGTTTATCGGGCACTTTGATACAGTCCCTAAAATATTCATGTTGTTTATACGCGGGGCCGTGCGTTCGTTACCTATACTGTGATGAGTTTGTACCGTACTCAGGCTAGTTTCAAAATATTTGTTGCTGGAAATAAATTCTAGAACGTTAATTTGACTTTTGGCCTTCCATATTGTTGGACATTAGTTTCTTTTAAAATTTAAACTTTAAACTTTAAAACCCAAAATTCCCAACATAACAGCCTGTACGACAGTCATCAGTAACAGCTTTAACCAAAAAAAATAACATAAAACAAATAATAACTACAAAATTATTCTTCAACTATTTGCCGTGGTGTGTGCTGGTGGTATCGGCTCATCCTTTGTCAATTCGCGGCTGAAGAGCGAGAACGGAAGGGCCCTCAACTACTTGGTCCAGATATTTGTGTCTTTGCAAACATATTGACCTTGTACTTTATCTTATCATATTTTACTTTAAAATGTACTAAAAGGTATTATTATGTACAAAATATTTTTGATTTTTGTCTTATCATTTCACTCTACTATATAACGGTCATCTTCTTCTCGATCGCTTGCTTCATTTCTGAAGGTCGTGCCCCTGAAAGGCTTTCATTGCTCTCTGTGTTATTTCCCTACATCTTGTCCTGTTTTCGGCTTCTCTCAGGGCTTTCGTAACAGAGAGTCCAGTGTAGTTGGCAACTTGGTCACACCATCGGCTAGGTGATTGCTCACGTGGTCTTTTTCCTTCCACCTTACCAACAATAACCAATTTGTCGAGGTTATTTGACTGGCGGAGGGCAATGTGACCGAAATATCCAAGCATTCGCATAACAGTCTACATACCAGTCCAAATAAAAAACGTTGACATAAAACACAAAATAAATACAAAATTATTCATACACTAGCTATAAGAGAAGTACACTATAAAATAAAACAAACGACAGTTCTGGAAGACGTAGAGGTCGTGACGGGAACAAAGTGTGCTCCTAGTCGGATGCGGTGACATTACGTCGCAATCAAACGCTCGTTAACACGCCGAGTAATTACTGCCGGACCTCCGCGCACTAATATTCTCCAGCAGTTTACTGAAACAGGTACAACTTATACATAAACTGTTTATTGCAGCGCAGTGTACGAGCTATGCAGATGGAATTGAATTTAATGATATTTTATTAGTAACTAGATAGTAACAATATGTTAAATTGTGGTAGACTGGACGAAATGTTGTCGTATTTGTTAGATTCCAGTTACAAAGCAGTTCAATTATTCAGATGTCTCGTATAAATCAATTTCTAAATAATGTGTGGAACGGTATGTTAAACATGTTTTTACGAAAATTCTCATATTAATAGAATTATATTTATTTACTAGCCGACCAGGCAAACTTCGTACTGCTTAAAAATAAATAAAAAATACTCAATTTTTTAAACCTACCCTGGACTTCACAAACTTTTCAAGACCAAAATTAAACAGATTGGTTCTGCCGTTCTCGAGGAGCCTAATGAACGGTTTATTTTTTTTAGTTATATACATAGAATTACTATTTCTAACATTAATTTGATCTCTCACACAGCCCGAGTCTAAGTTAAGCTAACTAGGAACTATTATATCTGTGGCTTCTAGCTACCTATTTAGTTTCATCAGCAGTTTGACGAGGAAGACTTACTAGCTGATGACTAAGTAGAACTGGGAGTATACATGGCATACGTAGTAGGTACTATATCTGTGTACATATATAGCTATTAGTCAGGAAGGGTTGTCGGTGCTAGGAGAAACTTAGGAACTACTTTAGAACTTAGGTCTTGCAAACCGACACTTTGCCGCTACGCCCTGTGTGGCTTTGAATAACTTATGTTGCTTCTCAAGTTTATCTCGTATTTGCTTTATTTTTTATTCACAATAGGAAATGTTTGCCTAAAATGTTTAGCGGCTTAGCATTTTAAGAGAAGGGTTGGGAAGTAAATGTTTTAGCAGTGTTTTTGTGTCTGTTCAAAAGTTTATAGTTTAGATGTGGATAGTGATACAATAGTGATTCATGTTTTAATGAACTGGTATTCTAAGTAGATTGAACAAGTGGAAAATTAAATTATAAAACTTGTAACTTTTTAATCAGGCAACATTTAACATATTTCATTATAATTAATGAAAATCTCAGAATACTCTAACAATAGTGTAGATGCCTAATTTTTATTTTAATGTCCGTCTGGTATTTTGAATCATTAGACATTTTTTATTTTCTTACAGACATATACTTTCGTCGATATATTGATTTGAAATGTCGCGTGACGTCACTTCTATGTACCTACATTTTATACGCAGAAATGACGTTTTAGCTCCCACTTCTAAACTTTGATTCGTTATATCAAGTATTGTTTCATTACACGACAAAATAGAAAAATACCTGTCTCATATTTTTCCATTGCCTTACTTACAGACTAATTATATTTTTAATTTTCATACCCTGTCATGATCCCAATTATAATCAAAGACAAATACCAAGTTTCCCTTAACCTAGCCATCCTATACCATAAGCCGGGGTACCTCTCATTTTTCCCAATCAATATAGTACACCTCTCCCATGCTACAGTAGAGGCAGTACCTACACAGCTCGCGAGGCACGCGTGACCAATTGTGATCGAGTGCCGAGTGCCGATCACGGTGGAAATTGTACACTATATCCAGAGTTATTGCTCTTGTCCAAGAAAAAACTAAAAAATAAGATCTACGTTTTGTTGTAATGAAGATTGATTCTTTTTGCTGAGTAGTTTGAGTGTAAATTGCAATTGAGGTTTGACAACATTTAGTGTCACTTTTTTTATGCTCTGCTATCTGTTCTTCGCATTCTGCTTCTCATTAACTGTTAACAGTTGGGTAAATGATATTATAATTATTCTAGTCTAAGAAAGTAAGTTAAGATACATAAGTTCCCAAACTTTTTTATGTTTTTTTTTAAAAAAATAGTATAACCGCATCACCTGCGCTTTCGCGAAAGAGAAGCTTCGAAAAAGGTAAGCTTACTTAATTTTACTGGTTATGTTTAATAGGAATTAGGAACAAAGTTATTGAACATCCGACTTTTAAACGTTAAACTTAAAACCATATGAACCAGGGAGCATAACACCCAAGTCACACGTTACACAATCAAGCCAACTTCTTAATACGGTAACACTAGAACAGTTTGCTATGTCGAGAGCAGTCACGTATCGTTTTTACTACCGCCTCAGCTGCTCGCGCGGCCAATTGGAAGAAAAAAACCAAGTCATTTAATATTTCATCTGAGCTCCGACCATTTCATGAGGGAATCAATATATTTTAAATTCTAATTCTGTTCAATACTCAAAGAGTCTTTTACAGCGGCAATCGATTCTGTTGAATATAAAGTGGGCCGGTTACCGCTGGGCCGCGGTGATTTTGTTGTGGGGAATTTTAATGTTTCATTGTGTTTAGGTGTTCGTATGTGCCGCGTTTTGTTTGTTTGTTTTTTTTTTGAATCGA